ATATATATATATATATATACATATATATACACACACACACACACACACACACACACACACACCTGCACCACCACCCTCCGAGGTGAGATGATCAGGTCTGGCCTTCCCTGGTTCTGGTTCTGTTCCGGAACGGTGGGTACGGGTACCGGGATGGGTCCGTATTTGTGTCCGACCTTTAGAGCTCTGTGGCGGCTGTCGATGGCCTGATCCGGATGCTCCTGCTGCACGTGTCCAGGCTCGGACACCACGGGCTTCACCTTCTTCCCGCCCTTCCTCTTGGCTCGTGCGGCAACGAGGCGTTTCTTCCAGCTGAGCGCGTGCAGCAGTACCGGGTGCCGCTTCTTCTTCTTCTTCTTCTCGTCCTGCGCCTCTTCTTCCTCGCGGGTCTCCGGTGGTCTCTGCAGCGCAAGCTTCTCCGGCCCGCGAGCTGCAACTTTGCGCGAGCCCGGAGACAGCGACAGCGCTGTTCCCATGACGACTACAACACCGAGCAGCGCGAGCCCTTCTGCAGCAGCGGAGGAGCTGTCTGTCTGTCTGTCTGTCTGTCTGCCTGTCAAACAGTTAAGAATCTAAATCCATCATGAAGACAAATCAATGACCTGTCTGCAGCTCCTCCATCTGTCTCTCTGTGGTGGTCTCAATGTGTCCCCCTGTCGAGTCTCTCTCTCTGTGACGCAGCCTGATGGACCATGAGGGCGGGAGTCCTGCAGAGAGCTGTCCGTGGTGCTGAAACGGTTTAAAGCTGCAGTGAGGCGAAATATCAAAGTGATACGGTAATTGCTATGATAATATTATTATTATTAAAATTATCATCGTTATTAGTGTTGGAGATTATTTTATATTTAATATTATTATTAGTGTTAAGGATTATTCTATATTAGTGTTGGACATTATTATATATTTTATATTAGTATTAGTGTTGGAGAATATTACATATTTATCATTATTTATTAGTGTTGGAGATTATTATATATTTAATATTATTATTATTAGTTCAGAGTCAGAATAAACTTCACTGATCAACAAACTAAACTGAGTTTTATTTCTGTTTTATTTTCTCCACTGAAAATAACTTCAAACATTAAAGTCAATTAGACTGACTCAGTTTTGCATCAAAGAATATTAATTTTACATATCACTTTGATCTTTGAATGTTTCTATCTTCACCTCAACCAGACAATCAATAACTATTGGTCTGCTCCCTCCTTCAGTTAATTCATGATTATTTATTTGAGTGTCATATTCACTTGTTTATGTAACTTCATAATTTTATTGATTATTGATTTACTTTCCCTCTGGAGATTTATTGTCCATCAGTTTAGTTTGTAACCTGCAGTTCACTGAGTCTCCACCAGAGGGAGCTCTTCTATTCTAAGAACTGAAGCACTTCTACCACAGAGTATCACAGAGTACCGAGATACTTCTACCATCGAGTATCAGAAACTGCTAGAGTACTTCTACCACCGAGTACCGAAGTACTTCTACCACCGAGTATCAGAGACTACTAGAGTACTTCTACCACCGAGTACCGAAGTACTTCTACCACCGAGTATCAGAGACTACTAAAGTACTTCTACCACCAAATATCACTAAGTACTGAAGTACTTCTACCACCAAGTATCACTGAGTACTGAAGTACTTCTACCACCGAGGGTTACAGAGACTACTAAAGTACTTCTACCACTGAGTATTACATTACTATGGGCGTGCTACTTTATATTTGCTTGTAATATTAAACATTATATTATTATATAATAAAACATTACATGTATTTTTAAAAACGTGTGTTGGATTCTTAGACTAAATATATTTAAATGTTACATTTGTTTTTTTATTAATGTTCTACCCTGTGTGTGTGTGTGTGTGTGGGTGTGTGTGTGTGTGTGTGTGTGTAGTGGGCGGAGCCTGTGGCAGCAGAAGGCTCATTGTCTGAGGCCGACTCTCTCTTTCTTTCTTCATGTGGGGGAGGAGAGTGGGAGGATTAACCGGCTGATCTGCGACACGCGCTCACACACAACACACACATTTCATATTAACAACACAACAGCTTCATCTGGATCAGCATCCTCTTCATCAGCATCCTCTTCATCATCATCACCATCATCAGAAGCAGCATCATCAGCGGCGGCGGAGAGGACGAGAGACAAAGAGACACACAGACAGACGGAGAGACAGACAGACGGGATGGAGAGACCAGCGATCTCTGCCGTCTAACGACAGACAGACAGGAGAGGGAGACAGACAGGAGAGACACACAGACAGGCCTTCATCCCCTCGACCGCCTGTCTGTGTTCCGTGTGTGATGGCCGACCACATGTTCCTGCCGCTGTGCGTCTGTTGAGTGTGTATTGTTGTAGGTGGGTGTGTTCACTGTGTGTGTGTGTTCGGTGTGATGGGTAACGCAGAGAGCATGGAGACCCAGCTCGCGGTGATCCGGTCCAGAGCCGCTCCGGTTCGACTCCCGATGCCCGACCCAGCAGAGCTGGAGGAGCGGTTCTCCATCGCCCTGGTAAATACGCACGCGCGCGCGCGCGCGCACACACACACACACGCGCACACACACACACACACACACACAATGAACGTTTGATATAAATGTTTAAATAATAATTGTGTTTATTGATACTGAGCTCCTCTTTTCTTCTCTATTCTATTTATTTTATTTAGTAAATCAAACATCTTTTTCTGTATTTAATATTTCTGTCTGAAGGCTTTAGCGTCAATCATCAGTGATTTAATGATTACATTCTCTATTTTATTCTGGTTTCCATGATTGTTTGAAAGTCTTCACTGAACCTGAACCAGATCCGTTTCACATTCTGACCTACTTTGACTTTATTTTTAAATGTTCCTTTACTTTTGGTTTACTGGAGTTTGGAGAACAGTAACAACTAATAGGGGTCTGGGGGGTTTGGAGGAGGACTTGGAGGGTCTGGGGGGCTTGGAGGGTCTGAAGTTTTTTTGTTTTTTTTTGGAGGTTTTGGATAGCTGGCTGGATTTAAGGGGACCAGTTCTGAATGTTCACATAAGTTCTAAACAATTTTTTGGACAAATTGTGTTTCAGAATTCGATGAATCTTCCTCCTGACAAGGTGCGTCTGCTGCGTTCCTATGACAACGACAAGAAGTGGGAGCTGATCTGTGATCAAGTGAGTGTGTTAATAAAGTTCATGAGTTTGAATCTGTTCTAGAACCAGGACTTAGTTTGGTGGTCCGAGACTCTTCAGAGAAACAGAGGAGTTATATTTACTAACAATATTTCATATTATTAACAGTTACTTTGTGATTTCATGACTTTCTGTAGTTTTACACACATCGTTGTGCCACATATTACAGATGATACATTATAATTCATTCTTATTACACATTATACATTATAATTCATTCTTATTATAAATGTTGTCATGTGGATTTGAGGTTTCTGGTGGGCGGAGACTCACATGTGATGTCATCACGCTTTAGGAGCGGTTTCAGGTGAAGAATCCTCCTCACACCTACATCCAGAAACTCAGAGGCTTCCTCGACCCGGCAGTCACACGCAAGGTGAGCTGGGAAATGTAGTTCATAGACGTTTACAACAGAAGTCTTTTTGTTCTGTTTGAAAACAAAAACTGTTTATTATAAGACTATTTTATCAGTATTATTTACCATTATTACATCTAAATGTCAAAGACAAATCAACCCTGAAATGTTTTCTGTAGGAGTCTGTCTGTCTGTCTGTCACTAACCTGTCTGTCTGTCTGCAGAAGTTCAGAAGAAGAGTCCAGGAGTCGACTCAGATGCTTCGAGAACTCGAGATTTCTCTTCGCACAAACCACATCGGGTACCTGTCTGTCTCTCTGAAACTCTGTCGCCTGGAAATTACATATATATTCCATTAATTTCTGCTGAAAGGAATCGTTAGTGTAAAAATACTGATTCATTTCAGGGTTTTAGGACTCGTTCCTTTAGCTTAGCTTGTTCCACATAACCTCTGTCTGTCTGTCTGTCCCTGTCTCTCTCTCTCTCTGAGGACCTGTCTGTCCCTGTCTCTCTCTCTCTGAGGACCTGTCTGTCTCTCTCTGATGCCCTGTCTGTCTCTCTGCAGGTGGGTCAGAGAGTTTCTGAATGAGGAGAATCGAGGTCTGGATGTTTTGGTCGAGTATTTGTCCTTCGCTCAATACGCCGTCACGTGAGTCTGAACAAACTAAATACTCCATCATTACATATTGAAATGTTTATTTGAATTCTCACAGTTTGAACCTTTAAACTTGTTGAAACTGTTATTAGTTGTCGTGTACTGTTCAGATGTTGTATGAACAGCTGAGACTCAACAGAAGCCGGTCCTGTTGTCGTTTGTGTGTTCAGGTTCGATGGAGAGCCGTCTGAGTCTGGAGGTGAAGTCTCGTCCATCGACTCTCCCTGGAGTCGGTCCATAGAAGACCTTCATGGAGACTGCAGCCTCCCATCCCCGTCTTCATCTGTTCCCAGAGCAGCTCGACACTCCATCAGGTAGCATGAATACAACCCTGATATCTGACCAGGGACCAGCTGTAGAAGCAGATAATAATCTGATGTCTTTATATTTGCAGCTCTGCGATGGTGACTCGCTCCAACACTCTGCCGAGTCGCCGAACTCTGAAGAATTCACGACTCGTCTGTAAGAAAGACGACGTTCATGTCTGTGTCATGTGTCTGAGAGCCATCATGAATTACCAGGTAACACTTTAACATTTAAATGTACATGAAATACATCAAGTACTCTAAATATGGTGCTTCTGTCTAAGCCGTTATTAACTTCATCTGTGTCCTCAGTACGGATTCAACATGGTGATGTCTCACCCTCACGCTGTCAACGAGATCGCCCTCAGCCTCAACAACAGGAACCCCAGGTCAGTACTACAAGTACACAAATTACTAACGAAGACTAGACAGACAGGTACACAAAGTACTAACGAGGACTAGACAGACACAGGTACACAAAGTACTAACGAGGAACTAGACAGA